TGGGACGTGGCCTCAGCATGGCCGGAGAAGTGGTGCATCGGTGCGCGCCCGGGATCCGAACCCGGGTCGCCAGCAGTGGAGTGCGCGCACTTAACCGCCACGCCACGGGGCCGGCCCTGCGTTATCTTTTTGTTTTTGTATTTTTTCTTGTCTTACCCCTGCTCCTCCACCTCATAAACACACACACCACACACAGATTGTGAACTTGAGTGCAAGAATTAGATTATATTTAACTTTATACCCCCTATGCCTAGAATGGTGATGTTATATGAAAAAGGAGATTTTTCCAGAGAGTAGTAAGGACTGATGAAGAAATGTCAATCCAAATTCTGTAACCACTTGTCTTTTTGCGTGCATTTATTTCAATAGTCATTTCTTGGAAGACAGCAGATTTTCTTGGTTAATTATGTGGGTTCCATATCAGTTTGCTTGAGTTTCGATCCTAACCTGCTAGTATTGATTTTCTTCATTTGTGAATGGAGTCGTGGGTGTATCTGTATTTCATGTGGTTATTGGAGAAATGAATGAACTCGTTGACACAGAGCACTTAACCCAGTGTCTTGTTCGTCGTATGGCTCAGCAATTATTATCTGCAGTTATTGTTTTGGAGTGGCGTTGTATATGCCTTCAGTTTACTCGAATTTAATTTATGTACACTCAGTCAAAATACAAGATGTGGAAGGAGCAAAAACGAAACTATTGAAATAGTTCGGGCCGTTACAGCTGCCATCCTACTCTGAGAACGTGTGCCCCACTGTGAGCAGGGGGTGGTGCAATTGGGGCTCCTCACCTCCATCTCAGGCCCTTCCTGCTCCCCTAGTGCCACCATCTCCCGTGTGGAGTGTCATGCTGGTGCTTGAAACTATGTTTCCTAAGACGTGGCACCAAACACAAGCCAGCCACTGTATCTGGTGCTCAAGCGAAAAAAAACCAGTGTTCCCAACACCGGAGTAAAACTCACTCTGCTAGACTAATGTCGAGTTCCACATGACACCTCCTGTGGGATTTTGAAGGATGATTTTGACCACGTGTGCACTGTGTCTTACACGTTGTCTTTCTGAACCCTTTATCGTAACTGTCAAATGTGGTAGTGATGTAGTAGTGCAGTCTCAGAGTGGCACTCACCTAAGGACTGGGGGTAGAAATAATTATTTTGGTTAAAATGTAAGAATGGGAGGGTTGGATACATTGAAGCAACACTCCATGCCAGCATCGCTGTTCTATCCCTGTTCATGGAGTTAATGTTGTAATGGCCAGCCTGGATTCCCCTCTCCTCTGCAGTGGTCCTGTGTGGCTCTTTGCCTTTGGAATGTGCAGAGACAGCATATTTTGAGAGTGCCAGCCTCACCAGCGCCAACAGGGGAAGGGTTAATAAGGATAATGACTGATATTCTGTGTTGATCCCATTGTTGGACAAAAAGTATTTCCAGTGAATGCTTTCACAAGTCCAGAGATTAAGTAAAAGGCTTTAATTTGTGTTTGCTTTTTGTTTAGGTAACTACTCCAGACCCCCAACGTATAGTGGGGTGCCCGGTGCAAGCTACAGCGGCCCAGGGCCCGGCATGGGCATCAATGCCAACAACCAGATGCATGGACAAGGGCCAAGCCAGCCATGTGGTGCTATGCCCCTGGGACGAATGCCATCAGCAGGGATGCAGAACAGACCATTTCCTGGAAATATGAGCAGCATGACCCCCAGTTCTCCTGGCATGTCTCAGCAGGGGGGGCCAGGAATGGGGCCACCAATGCCAACCGTGAACCGTAAGGCTCAGGAGGCAGCTGCCGCAGTGATGCAGGCCGCTGCAAACTCAGCGCAAAGCAGGTATGCCGTCGGGGCGGGCGGTCTGGGTGTGGATGTGTGAGCACGTGCTGGGCACAGAGCTGCATCCCGGGTCACACGGGGGTGGCGAGAGTAGCGTGGCATTTCGCTTGGCCGTTCCTTTTGTGTTAAATACGTTCTGTACTGTAACGGTCAGAGAAGGAAATGACAGACTATGTTCTATGAGACGTGGAGGAAGGAATCTGAGTGGTAGGCAGGTCAGTTGCGGGAGGTGATTTGAAACGGCTGTGACCCGTCATGGCAGCCAGCATCCCAGAGCCTGTGGCATTGGGAGTGTCTCTGTGGTTCCGTTTAAAACAGCGAGGTTTAGGCAGGAAATTCTAACGCCTGAAAACTAAAGTCTAAAACATTGAAAAAGAACCTCCCTCGTTTTTACCCCACCACAAAAATCCTTATAAAATAGAAACTTTGTATATGCACATATATGTGTTGTGTGTGTTTGTCTAAATGTACATGTGTGAGATTTATACTCTTCATATTCTCATGTTATATTTTATTTTTCTGGGCACACCTGTCTATCTGTCCAAACAAAAATGCGGTTAGTAAAGCAAAGATAATATTTCAGACAGTTTAAGTTGATAGAGCAAAGCGTGAGCTTCAATTACTGACTTGTTTTTAATCCTGATTTTTAAAATTGATTCTTGAAGTAAATACTTGAGCTGTATAAAAATAATATACTTATTTAAAAATTTGAGGCAAAAGTGAATATGTTTTAAAGAGGCACATGTAAATATATTTTAAATGACGTTTAACATGTTAAAATATATTTTAAAACAAAGCACATTGAAAGATATGGTATCTTCAGAAGAAAAGAGAAGATTCTGATTTTTGTCAAAGGGAAATAAAAGCTACTCTGTGTGTGTGTACCTGTGTGTGTATGTGTATGTGTGTGTATTTAAATGTGTCCCTTTGTTACTTTTCCTCTGAAGCTGCTATTTGGAAAATGTTAGGGACCCCTCCAGTCTTACCGTTTGCTCCAAATAATAATAAATTTCCCTTGAGGAATCAAAATGAAAACCAGCCATTATCTCTCTCTCCCATCCACATTACGGTTACTTAAAATCTTCTGAACCCCAGCACTATACCTCTGAACCAAACCTACACAGGCTTTAGGGACTGTTTTAATAAACCTGTCTGTGAAGACTGGTTTGGCTGTCCAATTGAAGGTCTAATTTTGGTTTAAATGGGTTGTCTGTTGCTGCAACTCATAAAGCACAAGTTATTTTCTTTTCAAGTAGAAAGTACTTGATTGCATTTGACACGAAGCCTTGGATAATGATCTGGGAAGAAGATAACCGTAGAGATTAAGGCATAATTGTTTGATTAAAAAGTCTTGCTATGCTTCCTTTCTGAATCAGTTTATATCTCATTTTATATCAATTAATAGGTAAATACACATCCATGCGTTTTCAAATCAGTAGACTGTTTCAAAGCCTCGCCTTCGCGTCCTGCCCATTTTAGCTCTCCAGGAGTTTAAACGGGGCCTGGACATTTGTTGGCTTTTACCGAAGTCACAGCTGTGAACTGAGATTAGATCTGAGAATCTTATTTTCTCTTTCCTTTGCCCTGTCCCCACCCTTTCTGTTGTGTTTTTTTTTTAAGGAACGTTATCCAGTCCCTCCCAGGCAGCTGCATGGTACAGAGTCTGTGCCCCATTCTGTAACCCTCCACACCTGCGTGTGGGGATAACATAATGGACAGGGGGATTCATACTTGTCTACAGAACAAATCCAAAGAAGTTGTTCTTCTGTTCTGCTTTAGGCCACCATACATTAGGTCGCCTGCTTATCCCAGCCAGTCTGGGGCTGGCGGACGCCCCATGTTTTCTTCCCAGCACCCCAACTATGGCAACTCTCAGGCTCCCGTGCTGCACCAGCCTGACCAGTACGGGTAGGTAGCTGACATCCCCTGACTTGCTGCGGGACCTGGGCCTTTTTTTAAACTGTTAATGAACGTGCCACCTGGCTGCAAAAGGAACACCCAAAACGAGAAAGGGAAGGACCTGGAAGGAACTCCATCTCAGAGGGGGTTGTCTTTTTGTTTATTTTTGTTTGTTTTGGGTTTTCTGTTTGTTTCGTTCTGTTTCGTTTCTCACTCTTAGTAACGGAACTGTGGTAGTTTGGTGGGGGCCTGCATGCGTCCCTCAGACCCTGTCTTTGCATGGCTTCTGGCACGCCTTCTCTCCTTCATGCCTGAGTGGGAAATACAAGCTTCTATCTACGTAAAAGTAAAGAAATCACCTACTCTGGGGCCATTTCCCCCATTGTTGTTGTTGTGTTGTCTAGGAACTTGTGTTGTGTAGCACCGTTATTATGACTGTGTTATTGTCATTCCTGCCACGAGAATGACCTGCTCCCACACGCACCCCCAAATTCAGAGTGTAGTAACCTTGTTTAACAAGGGACTCCCTGTAGGAGACATGACTTAGGTTATTAGTAGGACTTATGAGAGGTTTCATTATATCATCACTGAGCAAACATCTGTGCCATACATTTCTGTTATTTCCTCCTCCCAAGGAGTTTTAGAATACTGAAGTCACTAGGAAAATACAACCAAATAATCCAACACAGAATTTTCTTTCTAAACACAGTGTTGCCATATGGTTAATTTCAACACAGGAATTACATACAGCAACAAAAAGTATCTCTGTTCTTTCCGACGACAAAACTGTATAATATCAGCCTGTCACCATTTTGAGGTTAGAAAAGGCTCTTAAAGTATATTATTATTGAGTGACTTACCAAGCCAAAATATTACTGGTATCATTTTGTGTATAGGAACGATAAGATCATCCTACATAGATTGAATCATGTTCAGTAGTTAGTTTCAGTAGAAACTTACCATATTTTTGGTTAAAATAAAACAGGGAACAGTAAACTCGCTTTGTTTAAAGACTAAACTTAGAGAACTGTGCTTTCCTTACTTGTTATGAATGCAGGACACAGAGAGCTTTTCAGTCGTTTTATATTCAGTATACATTTACTTAGACAGCAAGAGCCAACGATAATTTTGCAATTGAGAGTTCTAAATCCTGTAAACATGGTCCTAACGGTGGACTAACAAATACAGAATGCTGGAAACATAATCCTAAAAGTGAAATAGCAAATAAAGAATTAGGTAAACACTTATTTAGGGGAAATTATCTTTCCTTTTTTTGCCTTTCTTGTGGTAACTTCAAGGTCACTTCATGAGTCGGTAGGAAGATAACTGTGGGGGGAGAAAAGCATTTATCATCAGCTGCTAATCCATAGGATCTGTCCTTTACCAACTCAGGAGTCCTATTTAGACCCACAAGCTAGTTGGGCTGTGCCTGGCCAAGCCACATTAAGCAGCTGTGTAAAATGAATGTAAATGGCACGCATCAGCGTACAGTCTCTCCCACTGGGGCAGAAAATCAATGTTAGCTAAGCAGCACGGGAAGATCAAATCTGCCTTTCAGCCAGCAGCATCCAGATAGCTTCCTTAGCATATAACACCTCCTCCTTAATTAAAAATAAGAAAAAAGAAAGATGGTGGAGTTATTCTACCTAATCTTATAAAGCACACTCTGCAAAGGCTCGTCTTTGCAGCCCTCTCCCTATTAGCTCTGGATTTTGCCTTTCAGGTCTATAGTATTCTTTCCAAAAAGGAAAGAAAAGAAAGTTTTGTTTCTATTTTAAATCTTCCTTCCTTTGCACTTTGCAGTGCACATAACCTGTTGTGCCTTTTTTTTTTTTTTAAGCAGAAGCTTGACAGTGAGAAAACATGTATAGTACATGTTGTAGTGCTATGGGTTCAGAAATTTGATTTTCAACATGCTTTTGCTTTACTTAGCAGCTCAGTGCAGCAAACTCGTGTTTTTGTTTTCTTCCCCCATTGAAAAGCCAATTCACTAAAGGTCACTTTCTCTTTCGGAGAAGTGGCTCAAGCCTTTCAGGAACACGGTATTCACAGAGTTTTGATATAATGACTTCTTTCTCAAGTCAGAACCCCAAAGGGCCTAGAGCCTATGAAAGAATCTGAAAAAGACAAATTAATGACGAAGGTAGTGAGCGAGTCTGTGCGTGTGTGTGCAGGCACGTGTGTGTGCAATTAGACAGAAACAGAAGGCTCACTGTAAAAATGAAGAATTATGACAATTATGCTTCAGGCTTTCTCAGCTAGTTGAATATAAAATAGTATAGAGAAAAAACACACAGGTTTAACTAGTTGAAGCCGTTTTACTAATTCCTTTTTTCAGAGTGGTACCACTGGGGTAAAACCCACCAGCTGCGTTGAATAAGTTAAGGAACAGACAGAATTATTTTTACTTTTTCACCTTCTGAGTAAGGGAATCCCTCCTTTTGTATCAGAAGACTTAAATAGAATGTGGTAAATCTTATTGTTCAGGTACTAGAATAGCTGAGTAATAATATCCAATCATTTGAAATTAACAATTTATACATCATATCCATCCAGGACCCCCATACACACTGATGTGCTCTTTACTCATAAAATGCATTGCTGTGTTCAGTTTTAAAGCATTTCTAGTTCATGTAGGGTTCTTTTGAAGTAATGAGAAACAGAGAGTTGGAAGTATTAGTTGATCTTACTAAAAGCCTAGATCAGGGATGGCAATGACTTTCATCTTCCGTCCAGTTCTGATGTGTCTGTAGGATCATGTTGGAAGGATTCTGAGACATTGTCTGAGTGTAGGAGAGCCAAAGTTGGCCAGAAGTTTAGGAAAGACTTTGGCCTGCTGCTTCCTAAGGAAGCCTTGCCACGAATCTTGGCTACAGCATAGTCTTTGTTTTTTCTTTTTTGCTGAGGAAGATTAGCCATGAGCTAACATCTGTTGCCAATCCTCCTCTTTTTGCTGAGGAAGATTAGCCCTGGCTAACATCCGTGCCCATCTGCCTCTACTTTATATATGGGACACTGCCACAGCATGGCTTGACAAGCAGTGCATAGGTCCACGCCCAGGATCCGAACCCACAAACCCTGGGCCGCCAAAGTGGAGTGCA